TAGAGGCGCTCCTGGGAAAGCCCACAGCTCTCCAAGGTCTGTATGGGTGCAGAGGGTGCTAAAAGAAAACAATTTCCAGATCCACTATTTTCATAGGAAGCCCCTTGTATGAGTGACGTGCCTGAAATGTGCCTGAGGCAAGCCAATTTCTAGCAAGTTCTCCTTTCCCTCTTCCCCTTTTCACAAGAACCCTTCTCCTGATTTATGAAAGAAAGGCATCTCTCCCTATCTTCCAGAATCTTCCCATGGGCCTCCCCGCTCCAGGGCATCAAATAAAGGGGCAGTTTGAAAAACCGATATTAGAGAAACTTTCTTTAATGAAAGGATTGATATCAACACTACCTATATCTACATCTATTATCTACATTTCCAGTATAGCTTGGTTTTATGCCTAATAATTACTTATCAGAAGTTAATGAGTTATTTTTGTTAATTACATACTAATAATATTTCAGGTAACACAAAGAATAGTTTTTCACAATTAAATTATTTAAAAAATTAAATTTAAATATATATATTTATTTTTATTGCCGAGGAGCGAGGAGAACGAAGAAATGGGACATATAGATTGTAAAACTGCTAACTGTAAAATGTTCGATTAAAGAATAATTATTTGAAAATTTTAGAGGTCAGCGCTAATAGTGCGCGTGGGGTGTTTTGTTTCTCAAATTTCTATTAGAAGGCATGTGAGCAAAACGTCCAGTGAGGAGAACGAATGTGTCACTGGTCTCCTTTCATGTCACTGTCATAAACAGAGCTTCCTCCCACCCCCACCCTTACAATCATTATATTTTCCTCTCCTGAGGATTATTTTCAGTTTCATTTCCTTTATCTGACAAAATACTTTCTGTCACTCTCCTGATCTTTTCTGTACCCTATCAGCACTTGGAGGAATCTGAGCATTTAGAGAAGAAACCACTATGTATTGTTAGAGCATGATCAGCTAATAGGTAGGTATTCAGAGTTTTCTCTCTATTTTATGTGGTTTGTATGCAGTCCTCTGCCCTTCTAATAATGGCCGCCAAGACACCAGTAGACTGGAAGTGGAATAAAACGCTGGAAAATATATTCATACAGATGCCCTGCCTCCTGATACAAAATGTGTACAAATAATATTGTTGGATTGAGCCGAGATCAAAGAGCCTGTCATTTCCTATTTCTGATTCCAGCACTGAATAACATTTTTTTTTTAAAAAAAGGATACCAATTCTTGACATAAAGCAAAATAAAAAAATAATAAATACCATAGTTATATGGTTACAATAGTTAATTAGTAAATTCACTATTAAATAGTTGAGAACGCATCCCAGTACCAGCTAAAACCCCAAATGTTCTCTCAACTCTCCTATGGAATTTTTCCATCCAATCCATCAAATAGGTAGCAGCGAGCATTTAAACAGTGTTCAGTCTCAACAGCTTCATACAGTTGTCTGAAACCACTGAGTGATTAAATGTAAGAGCTAACACTGAGCCAAAACAAGAAGCTGGCTTCTTCCAACCCTCATACCATAAAGCCTTCTGAAAGGAGGCTTTCCGAATAGCTGACTACACCACCTCAGTGGTGCTATAATGGAAAAGTCTTCTGCCCTGATCGCTCCATGAATCCCAGGCTTCTCCTTGGATGGATGAATAGAAAAGTAGAGCGATAGATACGGACACATAGGTCAATTCACATTTGCCTCCTATCTGTCAAGCTCTATCATCAAAACCTGATGAAAAGTAGACAAATGTTTTCATTCAGGAATCACAGAAGAAATTTCTCCAAAGAACCAAACACATATAGACATTCACATGAATATTATTTGATCATGAAAGTAATTTTTAAATATATGATTAATAATGTCAATCACATAAATACCAAATAAGTATTACTTCATTACTTTAAAACCAGCCTTCTATCATTAGGACACTGCATCAAAATGAAATAGTGGTTGGTTGTCACTGTCAAGATGTGGGAAGTATTTCTATGGAAATAAGATCATAATTCATAAATACCAGTGATCTTAAATCTGTCTGGGTTCAAATCCCAGCTCTATCATTTTCTAGCTGTAACTTTGGGCAAGTTATTTAGCTCTATGCTTCTATTTCCTCAGCTATGAAAGACAGTGCCTACCACTACATGTTTAATATAGCAATTTTAAAAATACATACATACTTGGAACGATGTCCAGGACATAATAAAAACTCAACAAATTAGCTAGGATTAGTATTATTTCCCATAATTCAAGTTGTGGGCCTCAAGACAGTGCTCTCTGTATTATCATTAACTAACCTTTGAAAGAATACTTGCATAATGAACCAAACTTAACAGTAAGGGTAGGAAGAAAAGGACACTCTTCTAAGTTTTAAAATATTTTAAAAACTGTTATAGGTCCGAGACCCATTTAAAAGGCCGATTAGAATTATGATCTTTCCCCTCAGAAAAAATCCACTTTTACACACATTTCAGGGCTTCATTCACAACCTTCCTGAGGTCTGCTGAGAGCCAGCAAACCTGAGATGGAGAATTTTCTAGGGTTTCAAATCCCTCAATTACCAAATTCTATTTCAATAAACTTTAAACCACTGGTTTTTTCCAATCCTCCAAAGAAGTTTATAAACATGCATTCCATAGACAAACATTATGTCTTGTGACATACGGCTATGGACATTTACATATTAATCTCATGGATTAAAACAAAAAGCATCAAACTGCTTTTCTGAAACCTTATCAGTAATCTGTAGAGAAACTGCAAATTCCAGAAATATAGTTTCAGATTAGGTTCTGGAGTTCTCACTTCAAATCAGCCGAGAGCAGTAAGTCCAAAAGTAGGGAAACACTCTGCTATCAGAGGTTCCCGACCAAGCAGCCAAGCCAATTCCTTTCTGTCACTCTGTCACAGAGCAGACAGTACTGCAGGAAAGGTCATTCGGAGTATGACTGAAACTTTGAGAAAACAGAGGGAGAAATATAAGGACATAACATTAAAACCATTATAACAAACTTTCAGAACTTTCTGAGATTTCCTAACTTGATGAAGTAAAATTTTAAAATTTTCATCACTTTTAAATCTAAAAGTGATGGCTAATGCTCTATCTTCCGTCCTTTCTTTTACATATCTTTACATTCTTTGTTTGTTCTCCCTCTGTCTACCATGCCCTACTTTTTAATAAAAGGACAGGAGTTTATAAAATTTAATCTATATTGTATCTTGATGCAGGTGGAACAGTTCACCTTGTAACCTCTGCACAGCAGAATGCTGTAACCGTCCAGATCTGATCTGTTCGTTCAATCCAATCAATAAAGCCTTTTTAGGCACACTGACAAGATGAAGATGCCTATCAGTCAGCAGTGTCATAACCTCAGAAAGTAGCTTCAAAAAACGCAATAGTAAATAGCTAGGGACGACCACTTAACTTCCAGTTTCAAAAGTTCTGACTCGCCCTATTTAAAAATCTGTAATAAGCATCATTTAAGAATAACCTTACTTTAAATATATGTTGAAGTTAACACAATCTTAAATGCATAGAATTACGTAGTTAAAGTCAAATAAATTGTAGACACTTGCACCATGTCTCAATACTTCAAGAAATTAACTGGATTTTCATTTAAAGCCACCTTGAATAAGGATTTGATTGCAGTACAAGTCTCCTGCATTTCTTCCAAATTTCTAATACTACTTTTCTAAGAGGTAAGTGTCTTGTTCGGGGTTGGAACTAATAATAGAGACCCAGGCCTGACAGCCAAACGGCGACCATGCCTGCGAATTCCTCTCCCCAGGAAGGCAGGTGTCGCGATCAAAGACAAGGAGGGTAATTTGATTTTGCAGAAGTAGAGGCAGTGACGCGCAGGCTCAAGCAACTGGCTCTGGCCGGCGGGGAGTCTGAGAAGGGGCAGGGAAGAAGCGGGGAGCAGCAGTACCTTTCTTGAACTTTCTGAGCTCGGTTAGGTGCGGAACTCAGCGCTCTGTGCTGCCAGACCTCGTCTCCTCCGCACCCCGCAGCTTGGCGGGGGTGGCCGGGCGCACGTCCCGCTCTCCTCCAGCCGGCTGTCCCCGCGGCACGCAGAGGGGAGCGCACTGGGGAGCCCGAGGACCGGCAAGTGGACGAGCAATCTGCGCGCGTCTGGAAGCGGAGGATGGCGAGGAGAGCCCGCGAGAGAAATAAAGGGGCAGAACGGGGAAAACCTCTGCACCATGCGCAAGCGAAAACTGAAGTCGTGGTCAAGTGTTCCCCCTGAGAGGGCGGGGCCGCGGTCTGGGGAGACGGGTGGGTCCTGCTGGAGCTGGGAGGGGCCCAAGGCGGAGGCTTTTGGGGAAACTTCTATGGCCCTTTCCACCACCACCACCTCCTCTCCCAAAGCGGAGAAGCAGAGCTCTGTACCTCCATCGATCCGGGCTGCAGAGTGCGGGACGAGCAGGCAGGGCAGGCGGCGCGCGCGGCCACCCGGCTCCCTTCCCTATTGGGCTACGGCGGCAGCGAGCGAGTCAGCTGGGCTTCCCCTGGTGCCCTGACCCAGGGAGTCCCAACCCCCAGCGAAAAGAAAAGTGAAAGAGGAAAGAACAAGGCGCAGAGGGGAAGATAAACACCTTCGGCGGCTGCTGGGGGGAAGGGCGGGATGGCGGCGGCTCCTGCATGACTTCCCGAGGTGTCGCGGCTCCCCGTCCCCTGGGCTGGCACGCCCGGTAGTTTCCGCCACTGGCAAGCCCAGGGCGCCGAACCTGAAGGGCTAGCGGAGCGCTGGCGCCCAGCTTGGGCCAGTACCGGCTTAGGTACCTGCAGAGAAAGCGCGAGGAGGTGTCTTGGAGCCCACCCGCCGCGTCCTCGGAGCCAGGCATGGTGCCGGAGGCTTCCCAGTGAAGCCCGGGGATCCCCGCGCGGTGCGCGTCCAAACCGCCCAGAAGAAAGGGGAAAATGCGTTGGATCAGGATGGGCGGCTACTCCACCCAGACCAGCCCCTCGGCCCACCGCTCAGGTTGGAGGAAGGAAGGCTTTGAAGTCCTAACGTTGGAGGAAGTCACCTGGGTAACTACTTTGTCCAAGGCAGTTGGCACGGAGGGTGAACTTGAAGGCATGAGCCTGTCTGCTGATCGGTTTGCCAGTCTAGTGAGGAATGGGGCGTAAACGTTATACGCATGGTCCAAGGGGACCGTGTGTGGTGTTGTTAACTGTATCTTGCAGTTAAAGGAAGGGACTGATTTCTTTTGAGGCTGAGGGATCTGCATGCCACACAGAGTCAGCAGAAAAGGCCTTGTGCCCAGTTTTGGAAGCACTCTGGAGAACCGTGCACACACGTGAATTACCGAAAATCCCTAATAAAAGGTGCTTCCCCAGAGTTTTCAGTTATGTCATAGAGAAAAATGATAAGGCTCCCCGGAGCTTAGTAAAACATTTAGCTACGTTTTCTTTGCATTTAACATATGTGTTAAAAATAAAACAAAAATATTAGAAGTGATTTAAATACTAAATGTGCATAAAGTTTACATAAAATCAGTTCACATTTTTCTTAAAAAGTTAAGCTCTAGATAGTCACTAACAACAAAATAAGAGCTATAAACATTTTTAAATCGTTTTTTACATTTAAAATCGTTTTTTTACGTTTAAAATAGTTGGAGGTTATATTTAAAGAAATGAAGCAATCATTCTTTCCTGTTCAAGACAACGTCATGTTGAATATTCATGTGATGATGCCAATGATTTCAAATCCAATCAGACTTTTTTGTAGCGATACATTGAAGCTGTAATTTGCAGAATGAGCATGCATTGGGAGAGCAATGCGTCTGGACTGGAGTCTGCTGCAAAAGATATGGCAGCCACAAAAGGACTAACGTACGTGTGTCTATGTGAATAGAGAGGTATGGGATGGAGAAGTGGATCTGTGTCCCCAGCCTCAACTTGGACTGCTGCAGAGCTTCTTAGGCTCCTGCAAGGTAAATTCATCCCATACCTCCTTCAGCCCCCCTGTTGATGCTGCGTGCTCTGCAGTTGGTGGCAGAAGGTGTCCACACAGTAAAGCACCTCACTGACCACACTCAATACCAAGTAGCACAGCCAGAGGACACATCATCACATCCTCGATTCTGTTGCATTTGGGCTGCCCAGGAAACTAGAGGAATCTGCTCTTAGCTGAAGTTCAATGGCCTGTAGGCTCCAGAATCTTGTCAGCTGTCCCCAGGGCTGAGGGGACTCAATGGCCGACAGCATACTGTTAATATGTGGCCACCTTGAATGTTCTAAGCTACTGGAGAGTTTTCACATTTTCTGACACTGATGGTAACTTTCCTTATAGAGCTGAGCTTTAAAGCACAATTTAAGTACACAGAATAATAAAATTGGTCTACAAATATTGAACAAACTTCTAACATATGTAAGTTCTGGAACAAGATGGGCCAAATGATCTACAAAATATTTAGTCAGAATAGGGAAATAAAATAACAAAGTGATATGAAAAATGATTATAACCATAAGATATGCTTTGCCTGTCAAATACATAGATCAGATTTGTTTTTTTAATTACAGAAAAAAATATCTTTCAATTAGTTGTATAAGTCACTGAAGCTCAGTGAAGTTGGGTTTTCAGCATAATTTGTTTTTGTTGCACTGTGTACAAACAAAAAAGTCTAATATATAAAATTCTAGTATTTCAGTTGCCACAGGCTGTTTGGTAAGATTCTGAAAATTACTCACACCAATGAACAAGTAAATTCCACTGTAGAATTTAAAAGCAAAGACCAAGATTGATGAAATCATTTGAAACCGCCTTAAGATAACTAATAAAACTCTAATATGGAAAGATGTAAAAAACTCACAGAAGTGACCATAACAATATTTCTTTGAATTTAAAGAATTAACAATAAAATTATAGATTAATAAAATTTTAATGTCTGATTTTTCATTCCAAAGACAATGTTTGGCAATTGGGCAGTTGTTTTTAAAATAAATTACTAATAAATGTTTTCTATAGCTTTTAAGAGTATGTGGAAGGAGCTAAGTTAGCTCACATGATTGAATGTTCAAAGCCCATGACTATGACTCTATTTATGGTTCTCCTAAGAATGAACCGCAAGCCAAGAACAAGTTGATCTTCTGGTCCTTGGAAAAACATGGCCCAGGACACCCCAAGTTTCCATACTGGTTAGAGCATATGTGAAATATACTCTTACCTCAAGTTTGCTCCCCATCTCTGATTTTTTAAAGAGGAACAGTCTTCCTATTAAAGATTACTTAAGTTTTCAAGAGCTTCTGAGGTTACTGCTTATTCAGAGTTGGAGCAGTACTAGTTGGTTAATACTTCTGTAGTTCCTACGATGTGTCCCCAGGTGCTTGCTAAGCGCTAATATAAACTCATTGAACCCTCACAGCAGTGCTATGAGATATAAACTGTGATTATCTCCATTTTACAGATAGAGAAACCGAGGCCCAGAGAAACTACAGGACCTATCTAATTGTGCAAATGAGTGGCCCAGCAAAGATCTGAACTCAGGTGGTATGGCTTAAATATACATCCCCTACCTTCTGCCACCTCTAAGTTGACAAGCACCCACCACTGCTTCTAAAACAAAGTTCATGAGGAAAAAATCCAGTGCCTCTCAAGTAGTATCTCTCAGTCCGATTTTATTTGCTCCAAATAATTTTAGCCACCACTAAGGAGGAAACTCGTCAGTTCTCTTGAATTTATGCTTCCTGATCATATTGTGTTTCTGTAATGAAATTGCTATGAGTTTTACAGCCCCACTATAAACATTTGAATAAAGTGACTGACAAAAGGCTGATGGAGCTAGAAACAGCAGGACTAGTAGCTGACAAATTCTGGCTGGAACCTATGAGAGATAGATGATTTTGTTTGAACTGAAGTGTAAGAGTGTACCCACAGAAAACCATGAAAAAAGATACCTGGTTTCAAGCTAGAGATGAATTAAAAACAAATAATAACATACTTAATTCTTAATATATTCAAAGTATAAGGAATTTTATACGTTTTGGTACTTAGTAGGAGGCAAAGTGGTTTAAATAAAACCAAGAGATGATGTAATGTGCCAACAGTACTATTCTGAACAATCTTTTAAGGCTGACCTTATCACTCGAAATCTAGTTCCAATTACCTTACTTAGATTTATAATATATGAGTGTATCTTTATCTATAGCTATATCTATACATATATATCATATAATATAGAATGCATTATTAACCCTTTCCTAAGGCTATCTTACACCCATGCTTTCTAGTCCAAGCATGACTTATGTCCTAGATTTAAACAAGAATCGTGTTTAACAGTTTCCCAAAATTTGTTCGCACGATTTTCTAAATTAAACAAGCTTCTAAATGAACCATGGATCAAAGAAGAAATCACAGAGGAAATTATGAAATATTTTGAACTGAATAATAATGAAAACCATATATCAAAATTTAAAGGATGCAGCTAACATAGTTCTTAGAGGAAAATGTATAGTTATCAATATTTACATTATAAATAAAAATGGTTAAAATCAATAGAATAAGTTTCTACCTTAAGAAACTAGGGGAAAAAGAGGAAAATACATACAATGAGAAGGAAGACAACAATAGTTCAAAGCTAAGAGGGAAGAGAAAACCAATGAAAATAAGTTATTTATTTGAAAAAAATCAATAAAATTGGTGAATCTTCAGCTAACTTGATCAAGAAAAAAGGAAAAATACAAAGTTACCAATATCAACATTGAAAGAGAATACATCACTATACATACATACTATAGACATAAAAGAAAAATAAAGAATATTAAAAACAACATAAGAATATGTTTGACAACTTAAAGAAGGGACAAATTCCTCGAAAGCCACAAGTTACAAAGGCTCACACACGCTCACACACACACACACACACACTCAGAATGTTTAAATTAATCTCTACTACAGAAATTTAATTCATAATTACAATCTTTCTCACAAACTCTAGATCCAAATGGATTCATTGGCAAATTGTTTTAAACAATTGAAAAATAATGCCAATTTTATACAAACTCTTTAAGAAAATAGAGGTAGAAGCACTTCTCAACTTATTTCATGAGGCCAGAATTACTCTGTCAAAACCAGCAAAGATATTACATAAGGAAATCTACAGTGGAATATTTTTTTGAACATAGCACAAGAATTTTTAACAAAATATTAACAATCTAACCTAATGTATAAAAGGATAATACATCAGGAACAAATGGGGATTATCCATGTAATAAATGCAAAGCTGATTTAACATGAAAAAGGTAATCAATGTAATGCTCAGTATTAATGAAAAAAAGGAGAAAAAGCATTGACAAAATTCAACATTCGGCCATGATGAAACCTCTTGGCAAACTAAAAATAGAAGGAAACTCTCTCAACCTAATAAAAGGCAACTACAAAAAAAGTCTACGTCTAATATTTGAATTTATAGTGAAAAATGAATGCTTTACCCCTAAAATCAGCTACAAGCAAAGATGTCTGCTCTCATCATTTCTATTCATTTGGTATTAAATATTCTAGACAGTGAAATAAGATTGAAAAAAAAAAGTTATAAAGAAAGGAAAGAACTGGAAAACTGTCTTTATTTGCAGAAAACAGGTTCCTGAGGAATCTACCAGAAAAATCCTAAAACTATAAGTGAATTTAGCAGAGTCACAGGATACAAGATAAATGTATAAACATAAATTATATTTTTGTTTACAGCAATGAAGTTAGAAATTTAAAAATTTTAAATATAATTTACAAAAGTATCCAACATAAAATACTTAAGCATAAATTTAACAACATGTACTCTGAAAACTACAAAATTACTGCAAGAAACTGAAGCATAAAATACTTAAGCATAAATTTAACAACATGTACTCTGAAAACTACAAAATTACTGCAAGAAACTGAAGATGATCTAAATCAAGGGTTGACCAACTACGGCCTGTAGCTTTTGGCCTGTTCTGTGTTTAAAATACGGCCACACCCATTTGTTTTATTTGAGTATTGCTGCTTTTGCAGTTGAGAAATTACAACAGAGACCATAGAATTTAGCAAAACTTACAATATTTATTACCTTGCTTTTTACAGAAAATGTTCATCAACCCTTCATCTAAATGTTTGAAGAGATATCATATTCATGAATCGGAAGATACAATGTTAAAGATGTCAATTTTCCCCCCAAACATATCTATAGATTCAAAGCAATACCAGCAGGCTTTCTTGTACAATTGGATGAGCCGCTTCTAAAATTGATATGCAAATACAGAGGACCTAGAACAGGTAAAACATTTTTGACAAAGAACAGTGTTAGAGGGTCTATACTACCAGATATCAAGATTTAATATAAAGCTAATATAAAAGGCCAAGGCAATGTAGTAATGGCGAAAGTCAATGGAACAGAATAAGGAATTTAGAAAAGACTCACAGATACATGGTCAATTAGTTTTGGCAGTTGTGCCAAGGTGAGAGAGTGAAAGGAAAATCCTTTCAAATGATACAGAAACAACTGGATTTTTTAGTTGAAAAAAATTATTTTCAATTCCGAAACTCTTGTCACTCATAAAAATAAACACTAATGGTTCATAGTAAATGTAAAAGCTAAAACTCTAAACCTAAGAGAAAGCATAGGAGAAAATCTTTGCAATCTTGAGGTAGGTAATGTTTCTTGGACAGAACACAAAAAGTACTATGAAAGGACAAAGTGATAAAATTAGATTTTATCGAAATATAAGCTGTTTTTCTCTCCTTAAGGTCCAAAATGACTACCAACAAACTAAAAGTTCCAGAGAATCTTGCAATTGAAAATCCTGTTTAATACTGTTTGACTTATTTCTCAAAGTCATTGTTCTAGGAATTATTTTGCAATAGAACATTAATTAATCTTTTACAGAACTTGTATTCCGGAAAACACACTTGCAAAGTACTGTTAAAGACACAGTACTTTCTTCTGGAATAAATTCCATTATCAATGTTCATTGAGAGAGAAGAGCCATAATAGTCAAATAATTATTTTTGCCATAGGATATGCTCTGTGTTGGATTCACTAACATTTTGGTATGATATTTTCAATGTTTGAGGGTTATAAATATTTCTCTATGGCAATAAACATTATTTTAAAACAATATTTTATAATAGCTGTACGACTTAATTAACTATTCACCTACTAGTAGTCATTTACAGCTTGATTTGTTTTTTATTAAAATGAAGAAGTCCTCATATAAAATTTGGCTGGCGAATCTCAAATTAAAACTTAAGTCATACTCACTCTGGTTAAAGGAGCCTAAAAAACATTGCCAGAAAGAGGCTTTAGGCCTACAAAGAAACTCTATATTTCTATTTTATTTTGAGAGAAACTAGGCATAGAGAAATTAGGAGATTCACATCTAATGAGATACTCATGTAATAATGACAGGCCTCAGAACTGATGCCTAAAGAAGTAACAAGGACGTCACTGAAATTTCTGAGCTGTAGATTTTAAATTAAAAGAGACAATAATGGTTACATTCCAAAATATCTCCAATAAGGACTTAACAAAAGCCAGCATTGGTCCAGTATAAGAAAGAGTTGTCAATAAACACTGTATTAATTAAACAAACCACAGAAGTAATCACTCTCAGGCAGCTGAAACAGCAAAGTGAATTTTAGGTACATGTAACATCATAACTATTTGGATTCTTGTCCAATATTACACATAGCAAATGGTGCTATGTTCCAAGAAAGCACTTCAAAATTTACTGTTGATTTGCATAAAATCAGAAATTCATGCAAACATTGAATGGCCATTTCCTTGAAAAATGGCTTTCAAAGGAGAGTGTTGATGTTATTGTTCTATTTGAAACATGAATAAGAAATGAGGTTTAGTGCAGGCAAAGGGAATTCTT